CCAAATATATTTTCACCAGCATTTAATGAACTGATTAATCACATTGCTATATCAAATAAAGGTTGATACATTGTGACTTTTTCTCAGATGTCAGAAGATGAGTATGGTTGATCCTCTTGGAACTGAATGCAACTTTTAGGCCATTAAACTCTTCAAAATATAATGAAATATTTGGGGAAGCACTGTATTAATACCCGTGCTTTATAACACTCATTTCATGTGAAAATAAATAGTTTTTAACCTAACCCTAACCTTTATATAGTTTAATTCTTTTTTGTAAAAGAGGCTTAGATCTCTATTTAATTAATGAATGTACATTAATTAAATGTACTTTACTTTTGAGAAAGTTAATGTACATACAAGTTAATATACATTAACTTTCTCAAAAGTTAAAATTGACTATGATCTAAATTCTCTCTAATTACAAAATCAAGAAACAAGAAACACACTTTTACAATTGGTACACTTGTACAATTACAAACAACTTAGATAGAAATTCCATTAAAGAATTCCTTTAATTAATTCAATTAAAGAAAAACTTAAATAAGACTTATTTCCAAATCCTTGAGTTAGAGGATTTCATTTTTAGGGATGTGCAAAGTTGTGAAATGAATGTGCAAATGTATGAGGAGTCAGGATTCTAAAAGCAGACCCAGTGAACAATTGACTCTCATTTGTTAAATTATGTAATTGCAAATAATGACATGGCCCACAGATGTAGAAAGTATCTCCTCTATGCAATTTCCTTCCATTCAGGACATTGCAAGATCAAAACCAACAAAATGTCCAAACAGGAAGTCGCTTCCAAATTATAGCTCTTCCTTTGAACCTGACATCCTGACTTTTCCCATCACTTTGAGCAGAAATAATTGAAAAGGCTCCGGTTACAAAGTCCAGTTCTTTTGAAAGTAGAGCTGTCTAGGTGAAGGTTATGTGTAGCTCGGGGTTAATCAAATACCCAGGTTTCCATGGGTACAGTACTGTTAAAAGATGAAAGAGGGAGAGAAAGATTTGGCCAGCTTCTTAGAAACATGTAGAATTTCAGTCTTTGTTAATTACTGTTGTTTTAATAATATTCGTCTATTTCTCATCTGTTTGCCTTTCTACTGCCCTGTTCGCACAATACTCTTCACTGGGTCAAGGGTTGGGGTGGGGGGGAGGCTACATGAATCATACCACCACTCCAACCCAGTCAATTAACCCTAGAAAATAAACCAGGCTTGAATAACATTTGGGGTTAATCAATCTCCCCTGTGTCATCAGAACAGGCACAGGAAGATTTTCATGGAGGACAATCTTTAATTGTCCTTTGTGCTTCCAAAAGTGTCTCAGAGTATGAGGTCTCTCTAGGCATTGTATCTTTTGCTTTATTTTTCAATTCCTTAGAGTTAAAACACAGGATGGGGATGCGAGGAAAGGAGGGATGGAAGCCAGGAAGAAAAAGTAGAGATAAATAAGTCCTCACAATCTTGGCTAGGGTGGTAACAATTCCAATATAAATCCCCCCCCTTTTTTTTGTCAGAGTTAGGGGTCAAAAAAGATGGATCATGCTATCCTCTCAGTCACTTAATTGGGGATTAGCTGATTTACCCATGTTGTGCAAAGTTCGCTTAAAAGTTCATGTTTCCTATTCTCTCTCTCCCTCCCTCCCTCTCTCCCTCTCTCCCCAATAGTGATGATGATATGGAGCCTTCTAGGCAGGTGAAAAATAGCCAAGGCAAGAAATCCCATCCACACATACCCAGTTCATTCTATTGATCAAAAAGTACACCAAGAATTCCTTCCCCTATAGCCATGATGGCGAACCTATGGCACTCGTGCCCAAAGTGGCACACGAAACCATGTCGCCCGGTACAAGCGGCCTTGCCTATCTGTCTTCTGGGTTTCTGGCGCACATGCGCGAGCGATAATCAGCTGTCCCTCACATGCGCGGCAGTGCCAAAAACCGGCCTGCACATGCACATTAGAACCCAGAAGTTTGGCTTTTCCAGAGTGTGATCCTTTCGCATGTGCAGCACTGCTGAAAACCAGCATGCACATGCGCATCAGCCAGCTGATCATCAGGCGTGCATGTGTGCTAGAACCCAGAAGTTCAGCTTTTCCAGAGCGTGGCCCCGACAAGCACATGCACATGATGCTTCTGCACGGCTGTTTGCCATCATTGCCCTATAGGATGGCACTATTGAGTCAAATACTACCCCTTCTCATTGATCTCTTAGAGGAAAGACACCCACAAAGACAGTACTCTGGAAAAAATGCATCATCTTCCCATATTAAAGATTTGTACTCCAAAGATGTATCTATTTCATTATTAAATTCCATTACTCTTCAATGACTTTGGGTGGCATACATTTTTTTAAAAATTGCTTTAAACAGCAACAACAACAAAATAAAACCACACACAGCTGATGTTTCTGTGGCTAATGGCTAATTCAGGGTCCCAAAACCCAAACCATAGGTAACCTATTCCAAGGCCTGGGAGAACCATCCTATTCCAAGGCCTGAGAGAATTACCAGGCTTTTCATAGCTTTCTGAAGGTCATTAAGGTGGGAGTGACCAATATGGATCTATATATCCAGTGTCTCAACATCAGACCGGAAAACAAATATTGCAGGCCTGCACACACACACCTTTTCTCAAAATTTTCAGTTGTTAAGAGTCTGCCTTCTAACAAGGAAGTTCTATTTTCTCTTAATCTGAGTTCTCTGTCATGTCTTGAATGACATGACATTAAGATAATTCTTTGTTTGTCATAAGGTAATATAAAGATCCCAAGAGGAATCTGAGGCTTGCCAGCTCCGATAGTCGGTAGTTATCTGTCCAAGCCTTCTCTTGGATTGTTATAAAAAAAATAACTTCAGTTACAGCTTGCTAGATTAACACTGAAATATCTTATTGATTGTAATTGTATTGATTGTATTGATTGTAACCCATAATTCAATTAAAGATGTGACTCTGGTCACTTAATGAACCAGACAGTTCACTGTGGACTCACTGAAGAAAGATAACCTCGTCTCCAATATTCGCTTACTCTTTTGCATTCCTTGTCTGGGCCCATGCAAATGGTCTTTTTGCTGAAGTGTGAAGGTACCTCAGTTACTGTTTGCCAAAGGCATGTCTTCACTATGGAGCCCTTCTCTTATGGCCAGTCAGCTGTTGAAGCAGACTAAAGTTGGGTGAATGGGTTCCTGCCTGAAATCACTTTGAGGAAGCTGCTCTGGCCAGGGAAAGCTATCTTGGCTGAAGATTCCCAGAGGAGAGGGTCTCCCTTTCTGGAGAACAAGGCTCTGTGAGTGATTTGCTTCAGTGGTGCTTCTGATACATTAGGCCAAGCAATGCATCGGAGGACTCACAATTTTTAGATTCTTTCAGCCCAGCCCTCTGCACTTTGTCATGTAATGGATTTATTAAGAGCCACAGAATAACAGAGTTGAAAGGGACCTTGGAGTCATCTAGCCCAACCCCCTGCTCAAACAGGAGACCTATACCAGTGATGGCTAACCTATTTGCCATCGTGTGCCAGGAGCAGGGGGGGTCGTGCGCATGTGCGGCCACACATATAATTGTATGAGCCCTGACCCTGCACATGTGCACACTACCCTCCCCCATTCCCCCCACTCCTGGCATGCAATGGCACAGTAGGCCCATTTTTTGCTCTCCCTAGCCTCCAAAGCCTTTCTAGGAGTCTGGGTAGGGTAAAAACGGCCTCCCCCGCCCTGGAGGCCCTCTGGAGTCTGAAAACAGCCCATTTGCAACTTCCAGTCCCACCAGAAGTTGGCAAATGGGTCATTTCTGGCCTCTGGAGGGCCTCTGGGGGAGGGGGGTGTCGGAAGGCCATTTTTGCCCTCCCCAGGCTCCTCAAAAGGCTCTGGAGGCTGGGGAGAGAGAAAAACAAACCTTCCTCACCACCGCCCGAGGTCTTCCGAAGGCAGGAAACAGCCTGTTTCCCTACTTCTGGTGGGCCCAGAAGGCCCGAAAATCAGCTGGCTGGTGCGCCAGAGCTGAGCTCGCATGCCCACCAATATGACTATGCATGCCACCTGTGGCACGCATGCCATAGATTCACCATCACGGCCCTATAATATTTCAGACAAATGGTTATCCAATCTCTTCTTAAAAACATCCAGTGTTGGAGTATTCACAACTTCTGGAGGTAAGTTGTTTCACTGATGAATTGTTCTGTCAGGAAATTTCTCCTTAGTTCTAAATTGGTTCTCTCCTTCATTAGTTTCCATCCACTGCTTCTTATCTTGCCTTCGTGTGCCGTGGAGAATAGGTTTACCCATTTTTCCTTTTGGCAGCCCCTCAAATATTAGAGGATGGCTTCAGGTGTTAGTAATTGACTGTTTTTTTTATTTGTGTTTAGATTCCCCTCTTCTACATCTGTATCCTGATAGAAAATCACATCTAAAGGATTTTGACTCCAGGACTTTATTTGGAGGGACCCAGAAAGTATAGCCATTGTCTGCAATTCTTTGGAATGGACATCTCCAACCATGTAGCTGAGTGTTAGAAGCAGTCATTTGTAAGGAAGGGGGTGAATCAGAGGTGAAATCCAGCAGGTTCTGATAGGTTTTGAAGAACCAGTAGTGGAAATTTTGAGCAGTTTGGAGAACCAGCAAATACCACCTCTGGCTGGCCCCAGAGTGGGGTGGTAATGGAGATTTTGCAGTATCCTTCCCCTGCCAAGCCTGCCAAGGCACGCCCACCAAGCCACGCCCACAGAACCAGTAGTAAAAAAAAATTGGATTTCACCACTGGGGTGAATCTCAAAAAGGTTTTGACATCAAGAATGCCTCTGAGAAAACTCAGTGACTGTCTTTGCAAGATGACTGAAATTTCATCCAGCAACTTTGATCCTACTGGTGGATCAGATCAGGGAAGAAGGAAGTGGAGCAGCAGGTGATCTTGTGGCTGTAAAACACTCAAATTTGAATATATATGTGACGGACTCTGGATTCGCAAATGACAAAGCAGCTTTGAAACGAAAATGGCATAATGTTTTTGAAAGGGAGAGTAAAATAAAAAGCGATTTCTCTTTAATGCACTCTAATCCCACTATATACCAGCTTCTCCCCAGTCTCTGCTCTGGTCCAGCATCCAGTTCAGGGGATGTTTCACTCCTAGATAATCTTCCTTCTTTCTATTATGAGCCCTGAATATTGACCTTGATATGTCAAAAGTTGATAGTGGTGGTAGGCTTCAGTGCAGCACCTCTGGCTATTTTTGAAATGAGAATATGCACCGCTCCAGTCTTCCAGGAGATGTGGAGATCCATATTTCTATGAAAATACACAATTACAAAAATATAAATAAACATGAATCCTTTAAAAAAAAACAACTAAGAAATACTTCAGCTGACTATTGATGAAGGGATAGAAGCATCTGGATTCCTCCACCCTTATCCTTCCACATGTTCAGGGAGTGATTGACAGTTTTGTTTTCCTGCCCGGTGATGACATGTAGACAGGAGAAAAGCAGTAAAATTCTGCTTATTGCTCCTCTGAAATTAACCCACATTACTTTCTCTGAAGGTATCAACAGGTCCACCCGCAAACTTTTTCTCCTCTATCGAAGAAAAGCAAAAAAGGGCACGGAATAGTCATGTAGATGAGTTATCCAATCCTACTTTTTGTGATGCCTCCTTAAATGTTTATTTTTGAAACATCAGGCAAGGTATTCTACATTTTGGTTCCTAATTCACTTCCTTATGCATCCTTGGCTTCTCTCTTTATTTTATTATTTCGAGTACCATTCCCGTCTTTCCCCATACTCTGTAAGGATATACATTAACCTCCAGTAATAAAACAAAAATTTCCCTTCCATCTTGAATAGACCTATTCCCTCCCCTTCCCCAATATAATCATGTTAAATAAGCAATTTGCTTTTCCTTGGGAAGTTAAATCTGAGGCATATGTATGTGCTTGTGTGTGTGTTGGGTGCAGGGGTGGGATTGAAAATTTTAGCAACCGGTTCTCTGCCTGGTTGCTGGGTGGGTGTGACCATGAGGGCATGGCCTATTCGGCTTCCTGCACCACGGGGGGAGGGTGTTTTCACCCTCCCCATGCTCTGGAGGCTTTGCTCAAGCTTCCAGGAGGGCAAAAATGGCCTCCCGTGGGCTCCGGAGGCCCTCCAGAGGCTGGAAACAGGCCAGTTTCTGGACTTCCGGTACCCGTTTTTCACCTTCCCAGAGCCTCCGCGTGGGCCCTGGACTTACCTGGCATCCAAACTGGGCCGCGTGGAGACTCCGGGGAGGGGCGGGTGGGATCAGCCAGTCCTTGAAACTACTGGTTTGGTGAACCAGATTAAAATAAACATCCAGTTCCCCTGAACTGGCTGAATTCCACTCCTAGTTGGGTGAAAAGAACCCTTCTATGGTTCCTTTTTCATGGAAAGATTCTAAACCATAAACCCTTTAATCAGTTAAGCATAACCTCTGCCATAAACCAGCATATAGTGTTTTTTTTTTTTTTATGGAATTGCTGATTACATGGTTCCCCTCTCACCATTCCTGCTGAAACCTTACTGTTTCTCACTGTTTCTTCTGGAATAATGCTGGAATGTTGGAGTAATGCTGGAATGGGAGAAAGGTCAGATGGAACTGTGGAGTACACCAGAGGTGGGTTTCAGCAGGTTCTGACCAGTTGTAGAGAACTGGTAGCAGAAATTTTGAGTAGTTCGGAGAACCGGTAAATACCACCTCTGACTGGCCCTGTCCCCATCTATTTTCTGCCTCCCAAGTCCCAGCTGATTGGGAGGAAATGGGGATTTTGCAGTATTCTTCCTCTGGAGTGGGGAGGGAATGGAGATTTTACAGTATCCTTCCCCTGCCATACCCACCAAGCCACGCCGCTAGGGTTGCCAGGTCTGCTTCCAAAAAATAGCGGACAAGCGGGGGGGGGTTAAGTAGTAAAAAAAAAATAATAATTTACAATTAAATTATATATTTTCTTACAAACATTTTAACACATATTAAAATAATCACTTCAAAACTTTACTTAAGATTCAAAACATCAAATATATTATAATAATATGTAAAATATTAAATTACATTTTACTTTGCTATCGTGTGTATTTTTTATTTGACTGCGCAGCTTTGATCAATTCTTTGTGTTTAAGGAATAATTCTTTAATTTCAGTACAACGTTGAGAAATATTAAAAAATATACAAAGTTCACTTCGAACTGATGGTACAAGCAGTCAGTTACGTTCGTCAGTCCACAAATTTCCCATGATGCTGAAAATTCGTTCAATGTTTGCATTTGATACCGGAATTGATGCACAATACTGGAACAGTTTCAGTAAACTCGGAGCTGGCTCTTTCTTGAAAAAGTACATCCACTTATCAAGGGATGAATCGCCCTGCAGATGAACATAAACTTCTTCTAAGGCAGAAATTTCATCAAAGAGAGTGTTGGGTGGAAGTTCTTCTTGCCATGGTGATAATAACCAGATGTTCGTCATTTCTTCTAAAGTTGGAGGATTATTGTGATCAATTAGATTGAAACAACTTAGCCTCTCATATACTGAATCGGTGAAATTATACCACTTTTCTAGGTACGGAATGGCTCTTTGATACACGTTGATGGCTTCTTTCTTGAACTTTTGCATGGCATTCTCAGGCAAATGTTTTTTACGTAAGGCAAATAAAACTTTCATTCCAAAAAACTGCTCATCGTATTTTTTTTGCAAAGAATCACGCAGCTTACACATGATAATGTGAAGATCACATGCAAGAATTTTCTTGCTTTCCAGCTTCAGTAGGGTGTCTTGCATTATTGACATGAAGAAGTGCGTGAAATATAAATACAATTCTGAAATTGTTGGTTCATTATCCTTTGCGAGTTCATTTTCCTGATCCAAAATAAGGTTCCAGATAACCTTATGGCACTCATCAGATCCAAGAGAAATAAAATACGATTTTAGAGGTATCCAGTTTAAAAGAAGTCTTTCAACCACTTTAAACAAACTTAACCAACGTGTTGGAACATGGCACAAAACTTCATGGAATTCTGACTCGCAAAACTCAAAAAATGATTTCAACTCTTCTCGTTTCTTCGCAGAATTCGAAAATTCGGCAAAAACCTTCAGCACTACATTTTCGATATCAAAAGATAACTGCTTTAATGCATTTTTTGCGTTGTTGTGTAAAATGTGATTATTGCAATGAGCAGCTACAATATTGTCATTTTCCAGCAATAATTTTTGGTAAACAGATTTGTTCACTCCATAATTGACTGATGCATTATCAGCTGAGTAAGCTGAAACATTATTTATTTCCAATTCATTATCACTAAGAACTCGACACAGCTGATTTTTTATTGATGTAGAATCTTTGAAAGAATCCTTATAAAAGTCTAAAATTTTCACACACAGTCCTTCTTCACAAGTAAAATATTGTGCAACAACAGGATATGTTTTGCGATTTCCCTTGTTTGATGTGTCAGTGGAGAGAGAAAATGGAATTCCAGTTTTAAGATCATTGAGAACCAACTCAATAGAAAAAGGATACAAAACCTCATTGACAATAGCTGATGATTTGGTTCTTCCACAAGACATCTTTTTTACAATTTCTGAATCATCAAAAATTTGCTTCATTAACTTAATACCGCAATCTTGAGCCAGGAAAGAAATATGGTGTTTGATCCCATGGTAAGTTTCAGCCATTTCAGCTACAGTCACTTTCTCACTGAAAGAGTAGTCTTTAACAATGAAAAACGAATTGATTCGCTTGTTGCTGGAAGCTATTTTCTCCTTATCTAAATGATTTTTTGTGCTTGCATGCTGTGTGACAGCTTTTATACCATTATATTTGTTGCAATATTTTCAGGATCAGACTCAATAAAGATAATTGGAGTTAGAGCTTTAAATATATTTCTTTTTAATTATGATAGGCATTCTATATTCACTGAATATTCAAGGTAGAAGCGACGAGAATGGTGAGAGTGGCTCCTTATATATACAAGGGGTGGAGCTAGGAATGGGAGTGGTAAGTTATGAATACATTAAAGTCCAAAGAATAAGTTAACCTCTGATGTTCCATATATACATTATTTACACATTGGAGAATAAGGCATTTACATCTGACAATATTCAATTGTGAACGATTTCTGATACAATTTACAGTAGGCCGTCACATTTGTTCTGTCGGTTTCGTTGTTGGTAATCCAAGCAAAAGTAGCTTCCCAGTCTTTGGTGTATTTGCACACTCCTCTCTTTCATTTTAAAGAATTCGAAATATCACCGCTGTCACTCTCATCACTCGATGACATTTTAGGTCAGTCAACACGAGCTACAATACATTTTAAAAATGTGAACTGTACATAATTTTATAATATATTTTTATTTTAATCTCATCATTAATTTTTCCGGAGAATCGATTTCAATGGATATTCGATCTTTGTCTCATTCTAACTTATGAAAAAAAAGACAAAACGCGATTCTCCTGTCCTTATTCTCTTAGACTGTACAGCTTTAGATTACGTACCATTTCATCATAAAGCTTTTGAATAAAAAAATGTCCACAAAAAAAATAGTGAACATAATGTGAAAAAAGCGGACTGTCCACTCAAATAGTGGACACCTGGTAAGGGTACACGCCGCGCCACGCCATACCATGCCCACCAAGCCACGCCCACAGAACCAGTAGTAAAAAAATTTGAATCCCACTACTGGAGTACACCGAGATAGAGTGTTTGATAGCTTGAATCTAGATAAGGAAAGAACTGGATTCAAAGTTCCATCTATTCTTTAGATTTTGCAAGTATAAAACCTGGCTTAGAGTATGCTAGAAGCAGGAGATTTCCCTGCTGCCTCCAGCATTCGATTATTAAAATTCAAAACTCAAAACAATATGTTGGAGCTGACTTTCTATCTAATGTTTCATCCAAGGCTCCAATCAGACTGGAAGAGGAATTTTGGATTCCAGTTCAAATCCTAAAAGGGAGAGAAAGTTACTTTTCTTTTTCTCTGCGCAGCCATTCTCCTACTCCATCAGCTGAAAGATATGAGAAGAACCTTTTTCTGAGATCCTGGAGGGTTCCTGCCAGAATAGAGAACACACACTCCAGATGGGCCAATGATTTGAAAATCTGTGATTAGGAATCACTTAATCTTGCATCTGGGCTGCAAAAATGTGTGAGATAATTAAATGCATCTCTTTACTGCCATCTAGCAGTCAACTGGAATTTTGCAGCACAGCTCTTGGGAGGCCTATTTTATCCAGAATTTAAAAACTTTATATGCTCCCTAAATTTGAATATGTACCGAACCATTCATAAAACAGGGAAACCCATATAACACATCAATTAAGTGATTGAAAATCGCCCTCTTAAACTCTAACTGGCTGAGACAATCGCCCTGTAACATGGAAATGCCCTCTAGGAAGTTAATAATAGAAAGAGAGGTCTTTAGTTGCCAGTTAAATTGGAGATAGCATGATATACACTAAGTTAAAATTTCACGGGCCATTTAGTTTATTCTAGCATAGTAGCCCAACACATTTACCAATGAGCAAATAAAAACACACACGCACATTGCAGATTGTAACTTCTCTGCACATATCACGGGACAATTTCCCCACCCAAGGAATAAAAATAGCTATCCTTTAGAATTGATGTGGGTAATTTTAAGACTTGTCCCCTATTGAGAAAAGCAGGATCCAAATGATAGACTCTTATCACTATTTTACTTAGGTACAAATACCTAGGTTTCTCTTTCACAGCAAGAAAGATCAAAAGTTGAGAAACATTGGGGGGGGTTCTTTCTTTCTTTCTTTCTTTCTTTCTTTCTTTCTTTTTCTCTCTCTCTCTTTCTTTCTTTCTTTCTCTCCTCCACCTCCTCCTCCTCCTCCTCCTCCTCCAACTGAAGGTGGAAATCCTGAATTTGAACATCTAGATCATTATGATGCTACTTTCTCCTTTTGAAGTGCTTCACCCACCACCTTCACCCTCTGCATGAGACTCACTAGCCCGATGCAGGACAGAGGGAATTCAGTCTAGCTGCATTTCTGATGGTGATGAGGCCTTGCTAGAGAAAATGAAGCTATGCCCCAGAGCCACATTAAAGTAAATGAAGTGTCAGTGTTTAAGGAATCTAGGTTGTACTGAATCAATTCCTGCTCTGACAAAACCACTTCCATCAGGGGAACGGGGGTGGGAGGGGGTGAATTCCCTCCATGCATGCACGCACATTTGCTCAGAGAGTTGGAGGAGGAGAGGAAAGGAATATATCCCGCTGTGTGCACAGAATTTCACTCCTCCAACATAAGG